TCGGGATCTTGGGCACGCACGCACACGCGCCCGGCGTGAGTTTTAAGCCACTGGGTCTGGGACACGACCGCGGGAGTCCAGCGACATAGCCATTACGCTAACTGCTGGTTCCCAGATTTGTTTTGTTTTGTTTCTGGCTGGAGAACACAGGCACCTTCTAGCCAAAAATAATTTTTAATATCGGGGCTGGCAGGTGGCATGATGGTTAAGGCGCTGGACTCCCATATGGCTGACCATGGTTGGAGTCCTGCACCTGGTGGCTACTGTCTCACATTCTCTCTTTCACTCTCCCTATGTCCTTCTGGTCAAATTAAAAAATAATAAAAAATACACAAAACTAAAAAAATAACCCTTCGAAAAAAGGATATGGCAAAGGAAAAGAGTGGTAAACAAAAATAAATATAAATAAAAAGATTAAACATACATTATTTAGGTATTTATGAGATGGCCAGATAGCAAAAACTATTTTAAAAAATGTCATTCATCCTACTTAAGACAGCTTGTCCTACATGGAACAGAAAATGTCAGTTATTTATGTTATTATATACCTATTAGAGAAGCAGCAGTAAGTAAAATTTTATTCCTTTCCCTTTAATTTTAAATTCTAAGTACCTTCCATCCCACCTCTACTGCAGGTTATCTTTTGGCATCTGAACCTAAGGAAAGAAAGAAAACGTTCACAATTGTATTGCTTCTTCTATTTTCTGACATTGTGAGCAAAATAGAGCTTATGAGCGAATGATACATTACACAGAGCAAATAATTAATCAAACTAACATAAATGATAGAAATGAACATAACTGTTTTAATGAAAGAAACTTTGTAAAAACCAAAGTATGTGACTTAAAAAGATGTTTGGAAATTTAGGTATAATAGAAACGATATAACCTATACGATGTTACTACTTATTCTGTCTCTTTGTCCTCATCAGTCAAATGGGAATATTAAAAAATCTGCAGGAAAGCGTTCTGAGGTTAAAATGTGTTTATAGGCATAATAACTTAAAGTGGTGCCTGGTGAGTAGTAACAGTCAGGTTTAGCTATTATTAGTTTCTGGTTATTGTCTAATATATACTGTTTTCCATTGGGGAAAATTTTAAACTTAGTGAAATAAACTTTAACTTAAAAAAAAAAAAGTGAATTTCAAAAATTTAATTCAGAATTTTAGTTGACACCTGAAAGCAGTTTGCGTTTATTCCCAACTTCCCATCTATCACTTTTTTTCTGTATTAGAAACTCTTGAACAGAGAGACCAGCAGTTGGTGTAATGGCTATGTTGCTGGACTCCCATGTAGTTGACTGCGGTTCAAGTCTCGGACCTGGTGGCTTAAACTCATGCCGGGTGCGTGTGAGTGCGTGCCCAAGATCCCGAGAGGAGAATGGAGGAGAAGGGATTGTGGCATGGCCGTACTCCCTTGGGGGTGGGGAGGTGATTTCTCACTTTCTATCTCTCTGTCTCTCTCTGTCTTTCTGGAGAGTACACACACCCTATAGCAAAAACCTCTCCAAAAAAAAAAAAAAAGGGAAGAAAGAAGGAAAGAAACTCTTGAACAGATTGATCCACTATCAAAGAATATCCAATGATCTGAAATCATTGAATGATTGATCTGAAGTGACCTAATGGTCATTTAAATAATACTTCTCTCTTTGTTTAATATATATCTTTATGGGGTAGATTTCTCCCCATATTTCAGTCGAAATGACATATTGCAACAGCATAAATATAGAAGCAGATATGTGAATCCAGCTGTATAATATTTTCTAATTTTGCCAGAGTACATGGGTACTAGCCAGAGACACACAGAGAAAAAGGAAAAGCCCTCCCCATAGGGCATGATCAGGTTCGGTCTCTTCTCCTCCATTTTTCACTCCTTTTGGGGTTTTATGCACACATGCATATGCAGCTGGTATGTTTTCTCAAGTTACTAAGTCTGAGAATTCAGATGTGTAGTCAGCCATGAGGGATCTAGCCACCTTAATCACTAGGCCACAGGCTGGCCTGAGTCTAGCTGAATTCTTATTAGTCAGACATTAAAGATATTTGTCTTGACTTCTCTCACTAAATTGCTTTTTTTAATTTTGGAAAATACAGTTATTTTCATGGAAATATGTTAAATGTGTTAATATGCAATTAGTCATTTTTCATAAATTAATAAAGTATACCACTTTTAATTCTAATATAGTAAATATTTCTTTCTTCATGCCCAACATGTTTTCTCTCCAGGAACTCAAAGTGCAAGACAGTGGAAAATATTTGTTACTAACAGACACACACTAAAGGAAATCCAAAAATGATGAAAGATGGAAGCTAGAAGATGCATGAAGAAATAAGCTTTAAGGGTAAGGGTAGATAACATGTATAAATTCCAATAGATATTTACTGAAAAAAATTATACTCTCATATGGGTTTATAAAGATACATAGTGTTAAAACTTATGGGGATCAGCAGGTGATATGGTGGTTAAGGTGCTGGACGCTCTCAGATGGCTGACCACAGTTCGAATCTTGGAGTTGGTAGCTTACTTTCTTACTTCCCCTCTCTCTCTGGTCAAATTGAAATAAATGAATGAATGAATACAATTAAATAAATAATTCTTAAAGAAAAAAATAAAAAAAGAACCAGGGGACCAGCAGGTGTTGTGGTTCTTAAGGCACTGGACTCTTGACTCCCACATGGCCAACTGTGATTTGAGTTCTGGACCTGGCAGCTTGATTAATCTCTTTCTCCCTCTCTCTCTCTGGTCAAATTAAAAATTAATTAATTAAATTAAATAAGTAATTCTAAAAAACTTACGACAGAAGTAATGTATAGAAGGTAAATGAGAAAGAAGGTAAATGAAGTTAGTGTCTTAATTTCCCTTATTTTAAAGTTTACTTATTTATTCCATAAGCAAGAGAGAGAAGCACATCCACCAGGATCCTGGTACTATAATACATCCCGTCTTAAACAGCCTTGTATGTGCCCATAGGGTATGTGCACTTGCTGGAGAGACAGAGAGACAGAAAATGAGAAATCCACCTGCCAGGGGGAATGGCTGCACTACAGGCTCTTGCGCCCAGCATAAATTTTAAGCTGCCAGGTCTGGGACTTGAACCACAGTTTAATGCGTGGACTGGCATCGTAACCATTATGCCATCTGCTGGTCCAACAATGTACTTTTTTTTTTTTTTTTTAGGAGAGATTTTTGCTATAGGGTGTGTGTGTGTGCTGCTGAAAAGATAAAGAGAGAAAGAAAGTGAGAAATCACCCCCCGGGCAGATGGCCACTCTGCAGTTCCTTCTCCATTCTCCTCTTGGGATTTTGGGCATACACATACATGTGCCCAGCATGAATTTTAAGCTGCCAGTTCTGGGACTCGGAACTGTGGTCGACCGTAGGAGTCCAGTAACCCATGATGTATTTCTTAAAACATAGCCCTGTCACTAAGGTGATGGATGACTATGTGTGTGTATCACTATACCAAAATACTATGAACTAAACATTCATTTTGAGAAAATATGGAAAAATTACACAAATTGACTATACGGAGAACGTGAAGTAAGCTTTACAAATTTCAAAGGACTAAAACCATAAAGTATATTCTCTGCCTCCAGTAGAGTAAGTCAGAAATCAATAATGGCAACAAAAGTAGAATATATCTAGTACTTGAAATTTTCAAATGTCTCTTCAGGGCTGACCTGAAATGCAGCATTTATGTGCTGTTCATAGAAAACTGGGTCCCACTTGGCCAGCTGTTTAGTTCTAGTCCTGGACCTGGCAAGGTGTGCATGCAAGGTGTGCGTGCCCAAAATTCCCAAAAGAGTGAGAGATGGAGGAGAAAGGATTGTGGCATGACCATGTCCCATGGGAAGTGCTTTTTCCTTTCCATCTCTCTCTCTGTTGTTCTCTTTTTGTTCTCTACCAAGTATACATGCCCTATAGCAAAAAGAAAAACAAACAAACAGAAAACATCCTGGACATGTATGCATGCTGGCTCTAAATCCTGACAAGATGGAGAAATGGAGGGAAAAGGATTGTGGTGTGACCATGCCCTGATGGGA